GCAGTTAAATACCGCTCTTCCTCATTTGCATTCAGACGTGATTCTAAAACTACATTTTGGCTGGAAGTGGTATGTTGAAATTAAGAAGCGATATGAATGGGAGTTTAATTCAAAATATAACTGTTAATTAAAATTAACATAATCCTTATAAGGCACTATGCTGTCGAATTTAGGATCACAGAGACTGCATCAGATGGGAAAATGTCGAGTGCCAGATCTGTGTATGATGCATTAAGACATATTAGATGGATCTTTTAAATTTAAGTTTTCAATTTATTAATAAAAAAATCCCTTTCTATAATGCCTGCCCAAGTGATAAGATTAGAAGCTTTTTTGATATTTTCCATGCTTGTGTCTAGTGAAAAGTAGAGAAAATAAAGGGAGGATAAACATGTTAAGAAAAAGATCTAGTATCAGGATAAAAATATTCAAATATTAGTCTCATTGTTCTTCCGGACATTCTCCAAAAAGTAAGAAATTCATCGCAAACTTTCTATAAAATACATCCATTACGCGTTGATACCATGGAGACATTTTTCATTTTGTCACATATTTTTTGAATCTTCTAGAATCGTGGGTCTCTAAATATTGCCTTCAAATCCTTCTAAACTTTCCAAGCTGCAATGTCAAAAATACTAAAGAAAAATTATTTCAACTAATTCTGTAACAGCAAAACGCCAGAAATATTTTGGGAAAAAAAGAAAGGAGGGAAAAAGTGTAAAATTAATTTTATAGAGAAAACCGATGCATATTTCTGAGAATTTTTAATATTTTGAGGCAAATCACGTGGAGAAAATGCTTACTATGAAAAAATTAAAAAGAAGACATTTTTAATTAATTACATAGCTAATTTTGCTTTTCCTAAGAGCTGTTTCATAAATTATGCTTTATAGCATTATACCTTGTTTATTTTTCAGATTCAAAATATTGTATAATAAGTTGCCAAAATGAAACTTTTATAATATTACAGCGAAAAATAAAAATGTTTTATTTTAATTTTATTTTTTATTTTTATATTCCAATTTATTACCATTATTTTAATGAAATTTATCAATGTTATGATGTTTTAAACAAAATCTTCGAAAAATTCTCAGATTTCTGAATTAAAAATTTTCTATAGAAACTGACCTTAAAATTGCCAAAATATTGACAAGTCGCCAAATTTAAAAGTTTAATAAAAGAATTCACATCTCCAAAAGCAAAAATTGTTTAAGAGCTCTTTATTACAAAAAATAAATTTCGAAATGCTTATGTTTCACTTCTTGCTTAGAAACTCGAGTATCCCATCATTTAAATTAGAAATAGAAACAAATTATAACCCATGAACCCATTCAAAAGATAACCATATACGTCAGTGAATCACCAAAAATATTCCTCCAAAATGCTAATTCACACTCAAAATGGCAGTCGTAAAAACAGACAAAAACTTCCGATGATTAAAATTAAGGACCTTCTGCTAATTTGGGCTAAAATTAAAGACTTTTAAGGACCAAAAATCAGTTCAAAAAAACTTAAGGACTTTTAAGGACTCTTAAGGACCGTACGAACCCTGTATAGAAAGACAAGTAGAAACATACATGTGAGCCAATTACTCAAGAACAGGCTTCCACAACTTGATTTGATACACAGCAGAAAATAATATTAGCATTTGCTTATTCAGGGTTCATAGCCACATTTTAGTTAAAAAAAATAAGCACCTATAAGCACTTTTCAAGCACATTTTAAGGAAAAAATAAGCACCTGTCTAATTACATTATACACAACTGCATAACCTTTAAAGAAAAATTAGACTTGTAATTTAAAATATGAGCTATGCAATATTTATTAAGAGAATGAGCATTACCTCAACAATGGAAAACAATTAACTTTTTTTTTTTTAATTTTAAATGACAGTTCAATTTACAGAATTAGTTTACAATGAGAGAAAAAAAACTATGCAATAATAAACTATATTACAAAATTTAATGATGATATTTCAGTTGAAAATATAGAAAATAAATAATAATAAGCCATTTTAATTGTATTCGTTTGGCACCTAATAATAAATACAATTTATTTTTCCACTCATATTAATATTTAAATAATTTAACTTAAATCAAAATTCTGAACATTTTCTAAATTTTCATTGCATAACAGTTTTCCCTTAACATATATCCCAAGCAAAGTAATTTAAGTAATAAAGAGGCACATTTCTGAAATCAGAACACAGGAAATTGCTTCATTCAGTCATCCTTTAACAGTAAAAGCTTAACTAACCCGCATACTCGAAATTCCCGAATATTCCGGATAGTAACTGGAAAAAGAGGAGTGGGGGAGATTGTAGCTGTTCTTTAGATTTAAATTTAAGCTAAATAATATTTTGACATTTCAATATGTGCATCACATAAAAATAGACCAACAGAAGTGAAAAATATTCTGCTTAGAAAGCACAGTAAAACTCTTTTAGGTGTTCATAAACAAATATCAGACTGAACATCAAAATTAATTATCTTCGCAAAATACCGCAAAAGTTATTGCGCAATATGTTATTGCGATAGTGCAATACGTTATTGCGCAATACGTGCGGCGTAATTCTTCCACTATGTGTATTACGCAATCGGAATCAACAGCTACCGGTATTCGGAGAATAAAGAAGTAAATAAAAGGAAAAGAAAGAGACTTACCTAATCTGGGGAGTTTCTGATTCTAATTTTCAACAGACTGCGTTAAATTCCGGAATAGAATCAATCTTCGCTTGGGTTGGGTAGACCGCAAAAACTTTTAGTCCTATTCAATCCAGATTGGACAGTGACCAAAAAAGGTCCGTGCTTCAATATCAGAGATTTTGCGGAGAAACTCCCAACCTCCGTACTGTATAATGTATTGGCAAAGAAAATGAAATTATTTTGACTATTTGATTACTTTCCTTTTATTTAAGCCATTCCGAATATTATTCCTTAGAAAGCTAATCTGTGTAAAAACACACCCATTTTTGGAAGTTTATCTATACTTCAGTTACTGCAACTATACTATAATAAATATTCATACATATACTCATAATATAAGCATAACGATCATAATAAACACGAATATGAACTGACCAAGCAGAACGAGAATGCAAATTATTAAAATCTTGATAGAAATTAGTATTTGTGTGGGAGGAATTCTCGCGCGCACCATAGGTTACGTAATGCAGAGAAAGGGGGGAAAGCGATTTTCGGGAGTATGATTCACCATCTGACGTTGCATATAAGAAAGAAAAGTTGTTTAGTTAGTTTCGGCTTTGGTACGGGGAAAAAATGAGCGCGTTCATTAAACAAACAAAAAAAAAAAAAAAAAGCAACACTAAAAGCAAAAATAAACACTAAAAAACAAAAAAATAAGGCTTTAAAGAAAAGTAAGCACTATAAGGGCCTTTATATTTTATTTTCAAATATAAGGACTTATAAGCACTTGTAAGGACCGCTACGAACCCTGTTATTTTCTTTCCCTTGGTAAAATAAAGGTGTCCAAGAGCTTAGTAATGAGCTGGTTAAAAGAGTGAATGTTTAATCTGCATGTCTATTTTGCAATCACTAAATTTGATTCATATTTATCAATTCTTAAGTGAAGTAAAATTTTCTGTTTTTGGTTAAGTGGCACAAAATTCAAATTTTTAATGCTAAATAATATTTTGAATCTAATTTATGTTTAAAAAATATTTTGCTGCTTTTCGCTACATAACAAAATATATACTCACACTGGGTCATCTGGAAATGTCAGTGATTTTTCAAATCCACATTTTCTTCTAATTATTTTGTTAGTGCCAATAAAAAAGTGACCATGCTGCAGATGTTTAAATAGTTTTTTTCTACTCGCACTGCATGATTCTAGTATGCTGCGGCATAAAATTTTTTCAGCACAGTGCTAGGAATGGAGAACCCAAACGTTCATTTTTTTTTAATATTCTGTTCATTTAATTAAACAGAAAAAATAATACTATCAGACGGCTCATAAAATCTGTGCTATATACGAACACAGGTTTGTATCTGACAACACAGTTCGAGAACAGCTTGAGAAATCCGTGAGCAGAAATTTCAACCTCAAAGATTATGTCTGCTCTGGAAGACCATTTCCTATAAACAAGGCCCTTTTAAAAGAAGTACTGCTGAAAATCCAAGTTACACAGCTCAGGAAACTATCAGACAAAATAAATATTCCATACAGTACAGTACATGATCATTTAAAAAAGACTAGATATGTAATATGCTTGCTTGAGTTTTTTTATGCAATTCTTTTCTGAAAAATAAATAAACTCATTACTGGAGATAAGAAGTGGATACTTTAAAGTAATGCTAATGAAATGGATTATTGAGTAAATTGATGATAAGGTATCAAAGTAAAGTGCCCAGAACTGACCAATCCTTGATGTGTCTTCCATCATACCAATGCTCAGCCCCACATTTTGACGAATGTCACAAAAAAACTTATTGAGTATGGATAGGATGTTTTGTGTCCCCCTTATGTTCATAAGACTTTACCCTCTTGAAAACTTTGTATTTTCAAGCTACTTCAAAACTCTCTGAATGGTCTTAGTTCACTTGTTTGGAGATCATAAAACAGCATGTCATTAAGCTCCTTTATGAATAAACCTAATGATTTTTTTTTTAAAAGAAAGTTTTCAGCTGCGTAAAGATAGAAAAAACACAGAATATAAAAAGTCATAGAATAAAATGTATGTGATTTAATAAAATTTTATGCTTCTGTATCATTTCATTTGTATTTATCATAAAAAACTACAGAGTTTTCCAGATACCCCAACATATAATTTTCAAAAATACATGATGAAATTTTCTTCATTTTGAGAAATCATGTCATATAAATAATATGAAATAAGTCAAAATAAAACATCTACATAAAGTTTTCAAGATTATACCTAAAAAATACCAAATGATTTTGCCCTATAACATGAAATTCAAAGATTTAAAAAGTTTATATTGAGCTGCACTTAAAAAGTAAAAATATTTCATTTTAACACTCACATTTTTTTGATCGCCAGCATCTGGACTGTGCATTGTTTCAATGCTAATAAAAAAGTTATTTTTCATATAATCTGGATTCTGCAACAAAAAGGTAGTAATTGATTGAATTATATATTAATTGCAATTAACAAATAATATAAAACTTGTATAAGAAATTACACAAAATTTTCAAAATAAATGAGTGACATTAAAAGACTAGAAGAAAATCATTATGCTTGATGAATGACACTTATTTGCAACACCACTACTAAATTATACACATATTATTGAGTAAATTGCAACCAGTTACCTAATATTTCATTGGTCTGTTTTAGCTACAGAGGAAGGCCTAAACACAATGTAGCACAGATTTCACCAAGTGCTGCTTATACCCTGAGGAATCTGAACTTAATAAGCCAAATGGCAGCAAATAAGCTTCGAGATATTGATGTAAAATCCATGACTTATGTCTATTTTACATCACCCAATAACCGTCTATGGTATTTATGACAGAGAAAGTCATAAGGCTAATCCATATGACATATCTCTTTATATTGTCTTCCAACCAACCAAAGGCAGATAATTTAGTTCCATTTTGCCACAATAAACCTAACTATCCAACTAAGCACAATCTGTTCTGAATAGCACATTATATTTTTCACCTAAAATAAGTACAGTACAAAGTCCGAAATCCGGACTCGTCGAGACTTCGGCAATTCAGGATTTGGGATTTTTCCGGATATTAGATCATCAGTTTAAATCTAGTAGGATGGCATGTAGAAATTATAAATTAAAAATACGAAATCATGATTTATGAAATAATGAAGTATTTATGATCTGAAGGGTATCAAAATTTACAAAAAAAAAAAAAAGCTTAATATTTGTTTACATTATTAAACATTTCTTTCAATGTAAGTTGTTTAAGTTGCTTTGTTATTTTGTAATACTTTCTTTTTAATTTTGTAGACAGGCATAATCTCTTGTTCAGTTACATTGTTGAAGTCTTGTAACTGCTGTTTGCAAAATTCTAACTAACTTGTCAATCGAAATTTTCTCGTTTTCAGTAACTTCTCTGTCACTTTCTTCAGTAACGGTAGAGGTATTTTATGGATCTAAAGCCATACTACAAATTTCGGCATTCATCAATTGATTGATGATTGAGAAGCATTGTCATCACAATGAAAAACTTTTTTATATCATCTTCATTTATTACCTACCACTTCTCCACATTTCTTTACAAAATCCGTTAATTGGAAAATTTCACCTTTGTTTTGCGATATCCGAAAACTTTTAAAATTAGCGGCTATAATCATGAAATTTAGCTATCCTTCACTATACATATTTGGCTATGCATCATGAGCTTGGCGACTAACGACAAGTTGTTCCGTAAAATTTTATCTTGCTTCTATTGCACAAAGACAATTAAGCCTGAATTGCATTAGCTTAGTTATTTATTCTATTATATTGGGCACCTCACCACCTATTAGGTGCTTCCATAATAAAGAGACTACCACATCCGGCCTTGTATAGATTAATGGACTGGGTTAAATTCGTAATTGCTCACAATCTGCCATTGGGAGAAAAAAAAAAAAAAAATTACTTATTATGCTTATGTCTATTTCTTGCACATGCTCAATGCTTATCAGAATTCTAAATAAATTCCCACATATACTTAAGCCTTATTGAGGGACAGCACAAGTTGTCATATTTTGATAAACATGCGGTGATGAAAGGAAAGTATAATAAATAATGATTCGCCAGGTTGGCGTCAGATCAACAATGTATCTATCTATGTGGAATGTTTCTGTTTCAGATATGAGTCAAGCAGATACACAGCAACGGAGCCAACTTACCGATAGCACAAATTTATGATAAAATGATTGTTTCTTCAATAACAAGGTATTTTATATAGTGTCGAAGTGAAATTAATAATCAGGACTCTCCAGATGTTTTATTATGCGCAGAAAGGGAATCAAATGTGCATGCATAAAGCCTATGAGAAAAAACAGTGGTGGTCTTGAGGTCCAGATTTTAGATCATTCCGGATAATGGACGTCCAGATTTCAGACTTCGTACTGTAATAGCTATCTAAATTGAAGTTTTGTATTGGAATATACATTGTCCCTTAACATCACATAATACAATACAATACTGATGACGTGATAATCTGTGTCTCAATCCTATAATCATCCTCACGAGTTCAAAGAAGACAAACTGGCAATGACACTTCTGGAATGGCACTTGCAGATAAAATTTATGCATATTAATAAGTACCACAGTCATGTGGAATGTATCGTTATGCATATATGGTTGTACACTACCCGCAACTTTCAGATGCTGATATTGCATTCAGCTCCTAAGAGAATTTTTATTTGATGCTGACTCCATTATGATGACCTAAATAACTTCCATTCACCCTTGCAATTATATTTCTTTGTAACTTATGCAATTTCTTCATCTGCAATTCCCTCTAGCCTCTTACTATATTAAAACTGATGCACATGATCAGTTTCAAAGTTATTACGATTCTTGATATTCTAGAATGCAAAATCGGGCCCTTTGGCAAAATTATTAAATCATTACACGTTCCATTCCTTCTGCAGAAAAAATAATTAATATCCATATAATATACTATGGCTTTAGTTGCAATCACGGTAATCATGTGATAATTTCAAGTATAGGAGATATTTAGTGTATTTTGTAAGCATGGCCACAGTTCAATGAATACAGAGCACAGAATGAGAAATTTTGTTAAAAATACAAGCTGTAACTTATTTTTATGATATACATCACTATGTAGTGATGGAAAAGCAGAACCAATATCCACTCATTATAGCTTCAGAAAGTACACAAAATATCTACTAGCAACATTTGTTTTCTACCATTTTGAAACATTTAATAATATTTAACGTGTGTTTGTTTTGGAAAATTGAGTCAAAAAGGCTTAAACTTTCACTATTGAGCATTCATATTTAGTAGATTTATTTAATTTTCTTGGTTATGCTAAAAAGTAGCTATTTGATTCACCACAATCATTTTTGCCACTTTCTTTTGTAAAATAATTCCGATGTGTAGTGAATGAACAGGTTTTGCACAATGATTTATCATATCTATCACATACAGATGAACCCTTTCTATCAAATTTCTTTGGACAATCTTCGTATTGACGATGAGCTGGCGATTTATTCAAAAGACTTGCTTGACTGTCATCAGAAAAATTAAACTCCTTTTAGGGTTAGTTTTAATACTCTGTGGTATACTTGTGCTCTCTGATCTATCAAGATGTTCCTTTACTAAGTCAACAGCAAGTTTCTTCAAATAATTTAATCATGACAAATGACTGTCGAATTTATATATAGTTTATGAATTAAACAGTGCAAAAATTTTTATACCATATTTCACTGTTTTGCTTTTATTGTATTGGTGAAACTGGCATCTTTGTAAAATGGTTCTAATTTTTCCTCAATACTACAATGAAGAAATGCAACACATATTTCGCTGTTTTGCTTTTATTGTATTGGTGAAAATGGCATCTTTGAAAAATGGTTCTAATTTTTCCTCAATACTACAATGAAGAAATGCAACACACTTTTTTAAAAATTATTAACTACTTTTTCAAAAACATTTTGCATTATTTCTTTCTTCTTATCTATCAAATTCTTTTCTGGCTTAAGACTGTGTACACCAACAATTTCCCTATCTATGTAACTTTATTATCATTAACCATAACTGCAATACAGAATACTAGAGTAGCAATGCAGAATAAATGATGTTTTAGTAGATCTGGTAATCATAATTTTAGCACATATCCATAACATATAAAAATGTTATACGACTCAGTCCTAAAAAAAAAAAAAAAAAAAAAAAAAAAAAAACCACTTTCTTAAAGAACCACCCATGGTCACTTGTGAATAAACTTTGAAATATTATAAGCTTAAACTTAAAAATATTATAAACTTTGAAATATGATGGGAAGTTGTTTATAGTGAAATTAAACTTCCTGGCTGGTGCCTTGTTTATTGTGATTTGAAGTGGCTAAAAATATGTATATATATAAATTATTATAAAAAGTCTTAAATTAAAAATAGATGGATTAAAGCCACCATATAATGTAAATTTGAAAGAATCCAAGTGGACAGGAACTTGGGAAATGGAAACAAAAATTCCAGATTGATATATTAGAAACCAGTGGTTAAAAGTTTAATACTTTTAATTTAAGTGAAGAAGATAAGAAGAATGTTGACAAAGAAATTGAAGCTTTGGAAAATTGCTGCATACCCAAAAGAAAACGAAAGTGTTGTTGGACATATATTTTTCTCTCAACACAACATGTAGGTGAATAATGATTTTTTAACACAGTTAAAGAAATTTAGTAACTGTGGATTTGCAGAATTAAATAAGTTTATATTATAGATATAGAATAGTAAGTGGAATTTTAAATAAAAATCTTAAAGACAGACCATTAAGGGAAGATAAATTAACATTGCAGAAATGTATTACAATGTGTAAAGCTTCCAAATTCACAGAACTTCAGCTGAAAACTTTAACTGAAGAAAATAAAATAGAACTGACAGATATAGCATGTTCCGCAAAATGGTTCTAGTTTTTCTTCAAGAGTACAATACTTAGAAATGCAATACACTTTTTGAATATTATTAACTACTTTTTCAAAACATTTCATATAATTTCTTTCTTCTTCTTACCTATCAAATTCTTTTCCTGCTTGACGACTGCATATGCCAACAATTTCAATGTCTGTAGAAGTACTTGTGAGCAGATCTTGCTGCCTCTGCTGCTTCCATTCATACTCAGTCAGATTCATAATGTAAAATGATTGCAAAATGCGTGAACATGCAGAGGGTAAAATTGATTCAAACTCACTACCCCACACAGAAAAAAACTGTTTTTAAAGTTTATGTCTGACAGTCTGGCTGGTAAGGAAAGTGTTTGACAAGTGTGAAAGCAATCAGTAGAAATTATTGCATATGCAGCTGGCCATTATCCTGTTGAAATGTAAGCTAGAACCCCTCAAAAGTAAAAGTAATACAATACACCATAGAATATTATCATCATACCTCCATGCTGTGTGGATGTCATGGATAACAACCAAAAGGGTCTGACTATCAAATGAAATGCCACCGCAGATTACCCCCTGAAACCATTCCTTGATGTTGGGCTGTATGAAGAATGATAATAAGGAAAAGCAGAACTCATCACTGAAGACAATTCTATTCTAGCCAGTAAGATTCCAAGTCACATGATTTCAGCACCACTGCAATTAAACTTATTGGTGTGCACAGCAAAGGAATATTCAGTGAAATGGGAACGGTGAGTATAGATCCCATTTTCTGAGTTGCCAATCAATAGTCCTTGTGGTTCATTGACAGACAACTCTGATATGTATAACTGGTGTCTCAATCACATGTCAAGTCCCAATCACATTGCTGAAAATGATGAATCATCTGTTTGCAGCAGCTACTCAAATGATCGTTGTCTTCCTATTCCGTATCTCCATAAATTGGTTTCTGCCTTCTCACAATGTGCTTTGCCGTATCTCAATCATTCCTGCATACATCATCATTCCAACCCAAAGACTGAGCAATCCTTCGATCTGACCTTTCGGTCGAATACAAATTCATTCTAAACTAGTCACATATACTCAGACTGTGCATGGATTCATTTGCAAAACTGGATCATTGCTGGCAGCTACAGTAAAAATAAACAGATAGGAATAAAATTTTAATAGAAATTTATTCTACAATCGGAATTTCTCTTTGTCCATACACCATCTAAATGCTCAGTTGCAATGCTCTGGAGCTCTAAATATTTATTCACTGATTGCCTAAATTTAACCATTTTAATTTTGGATTGAAAGGTATCCATATAGGAAATTTCATTACAATTAAGTAACTTCTTCTTTACATGTCTTTTTTTTTGGGGGGGTGGACCATATAAGATAATGCATGGATTAAACATTAGAATGGAATTCAAAATGAACACTCAAGTTCAACTTAACACAATGAAGAATATAATGCATTCTTTTCGTACAGAACCAAGATAAAATTATTTCTTTTCATAAACAGTAATTTGCATGTAAAATTGAATCATTATATAAAAATATGAACAAATACAGTACTTCTCATAAGCAATATCACCTCACGAAGGCTTTAATACCAAACTACAAAGATTCAGTAAATAATATGATTATTAATTTAAGAAAAACCAGCCAACAGCAATTTTGAAAGATTAAAACAATAGTTACCACACGAATTATTTCATTTAACACATTGGCAGCTTTTTGAGGTAATGTTGCTAATTAAAAATACCCAAAATAATATTATTTACTGCAAAGTAAAAAGTATATGCATCTCAATTGCATTTTTTTAAATCTACAAGACATAAAAAAGCTTTTACGACTTATTCATAGAAATTACAAATTTAAAAGGTTTTAAGTTACTTGTATCATACATTTTTAAATACACGGTTCAGTTCTTAAATTTTAATAATTATTTATAAATACCCAAATTATTTATTAACAATTTCTTAATTTTACTTTTACACATCACAAAAACAAATCAAAACAACAGAAAATCATATATTTTTTAAATATCAATTTAATTGGCCCTTACCGTTATGACTAGACAGAAGAACCAGCACATGGAAGGGAAAGAAATTCATCATTATAAAACCATACCAATCAATATATATATATATATATAAACAAATTTAAATTTGGTACTGTTCTGTTATCAGGACCGGATTTAGAAATGTATAAATATATGCACGTGAATGAATGTATATACATATATGTGTATATGTATACACACTCATGCTTACATATGTACATTCACATACACACTCATGCTTACATATGTACATGCATGCATACAATATATTTCTAGATCGAGTCCTGATAACAGAACAATACCAAGAAATTTATATTACCTTGTACAAAACTTGTATAGATAATAATAGAAGCCTAAATGCCCCTAAATCAAAAATTCTATGCATCTTCAGTGAAATTAATTTAAATACAATTTAGAATATAAAATTCCATTACTTCTGCATTTCTAAAATAAATTACTGATAAAATATAGCAGAGAAAAAAATTAATCTTGCTTTACGATCTTAAAAATCGAGTGTTTTGAAAACCTGCCCAAAACAGTGCAAATATCATATGAATTTAAACATAAATACTGTAAAGGCAAAACCAAGTACATGTCATACAATGATTATTAGGTACATACTTATTATTCTATTGACTGCAAAAGTGTCACCAAACAGCGCCATTTAGATACCAGTTATGTGTAAGCACACTGGCAATACTCATAATATCCACTTTCATTTGATATAATCCTGATTGAATATCAGTAAGCCACATTTTTTTATGAGCAAAGATATAAATTAACTATTATTGCTGTATTTTTACCTTACATTTTGAAAAGAAAATGATTAAAATTATAGATCTGCTTTCTACAAAACTGTAAGCAGCAGATTATTTTCAGAGTTATGGGATTTTACCATAAAAAAGGTGTGCACGTGATACAGTTAGCTGAATATGACTGACAAAACAGCACCAGATGGTGGGAAGTTTGTACATTCTGTTCTAAAGAGAGCTTCTGGTAAAACTGGAGGGCCTAACAAAATAGAAGAAACTGACAAAAGCCTTTTTACGGAATGCAAAAAAGAAGCAGGTTAAATATTGATTGTTTATTAAATAAAGAGGTTCTGTTTCATCAGAATTCTGCACAAACAATTGATGCACTTTTGGCAGGGTCTCCACTAAATTTTATGACTCAATGGGATAATACGTAAGCACCAGTTATTATAAATTTACAATTATGTACAGCATTTTAGAAAATCCAAAATTACTGAAGTGTTACTATAAGATTTTTTGGAGATTTTGCAAAAATTAAATGATAATAAATAAATTTTCTTTTACACATTCATCGGAAAAAGAGACCTATAAAATTTAATTTACCAAAAACTTTAAAATTTATTTTAAATTCACAGTTTTTACTATGGGATAATGAATTTTATAAAATATTCACTCTTTCAAAAATGCAAAATTTTATGGCTGGTTCTGTCAACACTTTTCTAAATTGTTGTATGAATGTATTTTACAGAAATATTTAACTCTTGGATGACCAAATTGCCCCACACAACCGTTCATTCAGATGACCACAACCACTCGAGATTGCTATCTTGTTTTCTTCCCTCCCCCTAAGATATGCAGTAGCAGGTGCAGTTTCCCCAAATGCATTGTATCAGTTTACTGAGACAGCTTGTCCTAAGGGGTTTCTTATCTTTAGACTGTGCATTTAACTCAACAAGGAAAGAAATTGAGGCTATTCTTTTTAATGATGAGTCAGATTTGGAATCAGAAGACAGCGACAGGAAAGAAACAGAAAATGAAATAAATGATAATGAAGAATCATTTATAGCAGAAGATGAAGATAAGCATAGAGCACATCTGAAAGCAGATGTTTCAGAAAATTGTAACAGAAAATCCAGCAAAAACCTGACCTACTAACGTTAACAATGATGCCATAATTTTGTCCCCATTTAACAGCTTTTTGGGACCAATTCATAATTTACCTGTTGGTGCTTGTTTTTTATGGATGAAACTTGTGAATTAATTCTCACGCTGAATTCTGTGCAAGAAAGCATGGCACTGTTGATCATGAATTTAAATTTTTTTTAATAAAAGAAATACGTGCATTCATTACAATCCTTCTTATAATGAGTATTGTAAAATTACCAAGCACAAGTAATTATTGATCAAATAACGCAATACTTGGAAATAAAATGATGAGCAGAAATTTTTGGAAGTCAAGCATTATTTTCATTTGTCAGATAGGGAAACCGAATATAAAAATAGCGAAAAGAACTTTACGTATGCACAAAAATTACAGCCCGTCATTTCATATTTAAGAAACAAACTTCAGCAACATTTTGCGCCTTACGCTAAAGTATCAATTGACAAAAGCACTAATTAAATTTAAAGGTAGATTAGGCATCGTGCAATATATGCATATGAAACCAGCTAAACACGGATTAAAAATATGGATGCTCTGAACATCTCGCTTAGGATATACTTATTACTTTGAACTTTATTGTGGTAAAAAGGATCAGATACCACGGTTAGGAAAGGGTTTAAGATATGATGTAGTTATTTATTTAATAAAAGCACTTGAAAACAAAGGCCATGAAATCTATTATGACAGATTTTTAACCAGCGTAGACTTGATGTCCGAGTTATACAAATCTGGACAATTATCATGTGGAACCGTAATGACAAATAAAAAAAACATGCCCGAAAACATCAAGCAAATGAAGCTTGGAAATCAATATGACAGCGTAGTTATGCAATGCAAAAGCCTGCCAAATTTACTTTAATCACTCTTGCTTGATAAAAAATTGACACGTATCATTCCCACAAACTGTAAAAATGAACCATGTTTTACTACAAGAAAAAAAGGCTCCGAAAAACATATAGCACTATGCCCACCAACATGTGTCAAGTACAATAAAAATACAGGAGGTGTAGATTTAGCAGATCAATGCCAAAAATATTGCTCAGCTTCTAGAAAATTCTCAAAATGGTGGATATGCATATTTTGGTTTTTTTTACACACAGTAGTCATAGATGCCTTTATATTTCATAGAATGATTAATTATGTAATCCTAAGGCGACCAAAGCAGCTATACAACTTCAAATTAGAATTGATTCAAGAATTTGCATTGCAGAATTCGTTTCGAAAACGAATTTCAGGCATATTTTCACCTAGTACATCAAAAAATTAATCGTCAAAAACGCACTTGTGTTTGATGTAAAGAATAAGGAAAAAAGACAAACTCGAAGAGATATATTGAAAGTTCTTAGGAGTGTGATATATGCCAAATGCGCTTGCGCAAATCGTGCTTTTAGGCTTCAGATTTCAGTTACTAAAATACAAAAAAAAAGGCACTTTTCAAGGTCATAAAATTTCAGGTACAGATCTGTATTCAGAAATGTATGTATGAATAGATGTGTGTGTTCATGTATGCATGTATATATGCAAGTACGAATGTATGTGTGTATATACATATATGCATATACATACACACGTGCATATATTTCCAATCTGGTTCCAATTACAAAACAGTACCTGATTTCAAAAAGGTGAAAACATTATTGCATCAACACAAAAACATGTATAAATGTGCAAGAGCACTATGTTTATATACATAGTGGTGTTCATATACAGAACGATGTCTATGAACAGCACTGTGTATTTAATCATAGACACATTTATATAGGCAACACATTAATGTATGCATATATCTACCCACAAATTTATATTAGTGAGAATATGCATATGCTTATTTATCTATAACATATGCAGAAATAATAATATACATATATGACTATATATATATATAAAAACATGGAAAACCAATAGCATTTATAAATGTGCTTTAAACTCATACGATATATAAGATCATAAAAAAAGACTATAAACTAAGGTTTATTCCTCACAAAGATGGGATCAAACAACTGATCAACAAATGCAAAGACCCTCATTATTTTTGGAAAAGGAAAAACAAAGTCAAATAACGCATCAGTTTAACTAAAAATTAGCAACTTAACGTCCAAAGAAAGAAAGTACATGAAGAGAAATCTTAATCCTCCATTCAATAAAAGAAAAAACAAGAAATTCCTGTAAAAATGAAATTTAAAAAAGGAAAATTATTTATTTATATTACATTTATCATGGGGTGTAAGGTATCTATTGCATATGGCAAAACACAAGAGGTTTCTGCTTGAGGACTGGCAAAGGCATGGGCGTGATTTTCCCAATGGAAATTGGCTCGTATTTACATTACATGTGATAATAATAATATACATAATTTTGCTTATTGGGATCCATTTTTATATCTTTTTTAAAAACCCAGAAATATTTCGGTACTTATCAGAATTATGATAAAATATCTACTCTTTAAACCACAGCTATTTTACCATAAATCTTTAAATAGAATTTTGTTGCTGTTTAAAAATTTAAGGATTATATTTATTTTTAATCAATTTATTCCTTCATATAAAAATAACGGAAGTAAGCAAAATTTCAGTCGTGATCTTAAAGCCAGAGAATCTTGCTAGTTTGTCCTTCAGAATACGTTTATAAAGAACAGGGTCAAAGGCTAATGGAATCTTTATTAGAAAGTAGAAAGGATGTCATTCGAAATCCTCACACCTATTTCTGCATTAATGGGCAGGGAAGGGAGGAAACTGTTGTGAAACTGGAAAAGTATTTCAGGGGGTTCGGTATTTAAGGATACAAGTTAGTGAAGGGTTTGCATTTCAAAGAATTAATACTACAGATATTTACGGAAAATGCTGAAATATGATCATTTACATAGATTTCTTAGTCACAGACCAGTCACCCCTTTTGGTAGTAAATCAACATTAGTTACTCTTTCTCTTAAATTATGTGATCCTAAAGTTTTTTTTGGTTTCATTTTATAAGTAAAAAAAGAATGCACAATATTTTAAAATTTATAGTTTTATTACTGATGCAGTCTGCTCTATCACATTTGTATCTCCAAAAGTTTCAAAGTTTCATAATGCATTCCCTCCCTTTTTTTCCAAT